ATGACGGCATAGGGCGCTGTTACATTCCTGCAGAAGTGGTACTTATTGATCTACTCACATTTGCATGTTTTCAAACTGCTAGGTTGGTAGAAGTTGGGGCTAACAGTGGGAACTCATCCCGCTCACCGGATTCGAACTGCCAACCTTTCTGTCAGCAAATTCAGCAGCTCAGCAGTTTAACCCATTGCATCACCAGGGGGCCCAAGGTATAGATACATTTAAATAATATAAAATCATTCTAAATTTTGGTAGGGAAGATTTTTTATTTTGGGGGGAAGCATTCAACCAATGACATTTCCCCTTTTCCAGGACTGGATTTGTTAATCCTATTACTTTGAACAATGGACATGGGTACTGTGGGTGTCTGGTCTGCCTTAATGGGATCAATAGTGTCTCCCATGCTGTTTAACATCTACATGAAGCTATTGTGTGAGATTATCTGGAGTTTGGGAGTTTGATGTCATCTGTACACAGATGACGTTCAAGTCTATCATTCTTTTCCACCTGCTACTAAGGTTGTTCAGGTCTTGAACCACACAAGTCAACTCAGTATCAGGGAAGAAAATACCAGGTGATGAATGTCCTTTATTATGCCCAGATGACTGTACAAAGGGCGAGCAGCCCTGTGAATGGATCCTGTCAGCGTCTGCACAGTCAAGGTCTATGGGGCCAATAGAGCTGGATTGGCCCCAGGGGTGATGGGTGCTTGAGTCCTTTGTGTTTAGATGATGCCCAAGGAAACTGCTGAAGGGAATTCCCAGGTCATGAGGTGCTGGTGAAAGGTCACCAAGGTCTTGCTGGATGGCTTCATACTCCAAAGTTTTATGAAAAACAAAATATTACATTACATACACAAGAGGAGTCCGTGGATAGAGAAGGGAACCAACAAATGGAAACCTGGGTATTCATGGGGGCAAGAATTGGCGAAGAGGTTAGCTGGGGTGCAAGGATGTGATATGAGGAGGACAGATGGGAAGGGAGCCCTGCTCCGGGGGCGAAGAGGCCATGTGGCCATCGGGGCTGGCTGCAAAAGGCAAATGTAGAAGAGAAAGACTCAGGAGGCAAAGAAGTTACAAAGAAGCAGATATAGAGGATAACGTATCATAGTACACATTTATTAATGAGTTATACTGTAGTGAAGGGGGGAAAGAAGTATCCATGGTGCTTGGTTACTGCTACTGGATTCCTCCATATCCCCAATTGTTCGCATAATTGATCTCTATGAAGTAAAAGGTTCTCACCTGTCGTGGCTCTAGGGATAGTTTGGATGTAGTTGCTACAGCTGTTGGAAGTCTACACTGTGGATTGTTTTGTTCTTAACCATGTTTCTGTATTACCTAGCAGTTCACAAAAAAATTAAAACCCACAAAATCCTAAAACGTGTATATGTGTGTGTGTGTGTGTGTGTGTGTGTGTGTGTGTGTGGGTGTGTGTGTATGTATGTATGTGTATATATATATATATATATATATATATATATATATATATATATATATATGCAAAGTTAAAACTAGAGCTAAAAAAAACACAACCAACAGCAAAAAATACAATTTCAATTTCATGATTAGTTCCCACTGAAACTGGAGAAAAATTAACATTTTTATTGCTGACCTGAGAAATCATCAGGGATGGCAAGAATTGTCAGTAACAGTGGTTCAGTTCATTGCCAAACCAACATGTGACAATTGTATTTATATTGATGCTACTCCCTTATATTTTCCTTTCCTCTCCATCCTCCAAGCCTCACAGAGGTTTTATAAAGACAGTCTTCAGTCATGTAAACAATTTTGTCAAAGCTACTGCACAGGCTTAGCCACATTAATGCAAGAAATGTGTGCCATGGAGATCCTGAGCAGCTGTAGTTGAAGGAGCATAAACCCTTCTAGGAAAAATAAAACCCACATTCTAGATATTATCTCTGCATGAACTAATTCTGCTTAAATCTGATTTTCATTTAGTCTGGCCTTTCATTTATAAAAGCAGATGCAAAGTAATTGCTTAATATGTCCAAGGCTTCTCTTATCCACTGGTTCTAATTCCATGCCAGTCTGTCTTACCCAGGATGATCTTTCCCCCCTTTATTTTTCTGCATGTGCTCGGAAAGCCTTTTATAGTTTTATCAAGGCTTTGACCCTCAGCTATACTGCCTGTGCAAAGCCAATATCAATTTTTACTGAGACAACTGTGTTGGATATCATCCCTGTGCTTTTAGGAACATCTTAAGGCTGCCTTTCAGTACGCAACAATTCCATCTTTCCTTCCTTAACAAAGTTTCTGTGGTAAGAAGACAGAAAGAAGCAGTGGCATGGAAGCATAGGGCGGTTACTAACAGAAAATATTGTTCCCTGGACTCTCCGTAAACTTCTGTGGAATAAGTTGGCTGGTCACACAATAACAGCTTTGTTTGGAAACATTTTCAGCTACAATTATTTCCATTTGTGGGCTTATTTATTTATATCCTTACCCACTGTGATTCTCAGAAGACATTGTTACATCCAACACAAAGAAAAATGTTCTGCAATGGGTGGTTTCATACTACAAATGCACCACAACATCAACACATACAACTCCACAGAGCCTGGCAGATCCCTTCTTAAGGTGGGCAGAGCTGTGTGCCACATGGTCCATCCTGATGCCCTAAATTTACCTGCAGTTCACAAATGTAGCAGAGTGCTGTATTTTTGTTAGTACTGAAATCAGTTTTATTTCACCTCAGCAGTCAGTTTCCATATTCAGTAACGAGTGAGAGAGCAGCATCTTGCCTTTTGCCCCAGACAACAAAATATCTTGGACCACCCCTGGTTTAAACTGCTTGCTGTAGCATGACATTGAGTTTCTGTTGTGCATATGGTTTCCAGCTGTCCCTTATTTGAAGGTTGGAAACCTTGTCACTTATAGGGCTTGCAGATCTCTCTTATTCGAGGATTGGAAAAATTTGCTTTAGATTGAATAGGGTACCCAAAAAGACCCCACATTTTGGGCTATGGCAAAATTGCATGTATTGTGTAATTTATAAATTTGCATAATTCATTAATTTTACAGAGAAATACAGAGCCAACTGAAATAAATAACAATTTGGTATTTATGCAGAACACAATCTTGTGAATCATTAGCTTTGAAACCTGAATAACATTATCCATATAAAGTGATACAAAATATCCCCTATGTATCTTATATGAGATACATGTCAAACCTCAGTATAACACCAGTGTATAGTCCACCATACATATCTACAGATTCCGTATCCATGGATTTAACTATCCACAGCTTGAAGTGTTTTTTAAAGTACTTTTAAACAAACCTTGATTTTGCTATTTTATTTTAAGAGCACCGTTTTACTGAACACACATGGACCTTGGTATCCATGGAGGAGTTCTGGAACCAAACCCCAGGTGATACCAAGGGCCCACTGTATATTTATGATAGACTAGACGTCCTCTGCCACGCGTTGCTGTGGCCCTCAGAAAACAGAGGGATTCCAGACATGAAACAATAGACAGTAGAGACATATGGAAGGGACATTGATAGATGGAACAGAAGGTAGATGGATAGAACATAGATAGGTAGGTTGGTAGATGGATGGATGGATGGTCAGACAGACACACACACATATTTAAGGTGCCAAAGGGGGTTGGACTGGATGGCCTTTGGGGCTCCTTTCCAACTGGATGGCCATCTGTCAGGAGGGCTTTGATGGTTTCTTCCTTTGCTGCAAAAAGTGATTGGGCTGGATGGCCTATGGGGCCCCTTTAACTACCATGGCTCAATGCTGTGGAATAAATTCACAGTGTAGACCAGGTAGGGGCAGACTTTGGCCCTCCAGAGGTTTTGGACTCCAACTCCAACAATTCCTAACAGCCTTCCTAACAGCCTTTTGGGGTTGGAGTTTTTTTGTCACTATGTTTTTCAGTGTTTTTATGAGTGATGATTACTCGTTGGCCTGATCGGTGTCTTGTGTCCAAATTTGGTGTCAATTCGCCCAGTGGTTTTTGAGTTATGTTAATCCCACAAATGAACACTACATTTTTATTTATGTAGATAGTTTCAGTTTGATGATGCGTAAAGGCCAGCAGAAAATTAGTCCTTTGTATATTCAAAAAAGAGTAACACAAGTAAAACATTTCAACAGAAAGGAAGAAACCATGAAAATGAACAAAATCTGGCTACCAGTATTTAAAAACTCTAAAATTATAAGAATAAATAAAGAACAACACAATAACACAGGGGAATTACAGACAAGAAACAATCATGGCCTGCAAATCACTTCCCAACAAAGGAGTCCCCCAAGCAGTAAGAAGCTAGACCTTGAAACTGTCAGGCCATTCAATGCTAATCAATGTGGCCAATTGCAACATTCACACTTGCCTCAAGCAGACAAGAGTTCTTTCTCCCACCCTGGACATTCCACAGATATATAAACCCCATTTTCCTAGTTTCCAACAGACCACACAACCTCTGAGGATGCTTGCCATAGATGCAGGCGAAATGTCAGGAGAGAATGCTTCTGGAACATGGCCAGACAGCCCGGAAAACCTACAACAACCCAAAGGGAGAATGATTGCAGCCATGGCTCAAGAGTATGGGACCATAGGAGATCCCCCTGTGTAGACGTATCCGAAGAGCTGCCTCAGCAGAATGCAAGGAGGCCACCCCCGCGCATTTTGCAACCACTCCTGAAGAGAAGGATTATATTACACAAGCCCTCCTCTGGAAATGCAATGCAGCGGGGGAAGGAGAGGGAAGAGGAGGGGAGCATGCTCTCTCTCTCTTTCTTTCTCGGCCACAAAGAGCTCTGTTCATGGCTGCCCCCTCCCTTCCCCTTTGGGGGATATGAGACTATGTCATGAGCTCACTCGGCCATGCCCATGCTGGGCCTCGGTGCCAACCCAACAAGAGACGTCTGACACCAAGCGCCACTGAGGGGCCAAGGAACAGGCCCCCCTCCCAGCTCCACAGCCCTGACGGCCTTGAGCCCGCCCCCAGTGCGCGGCTGTCAATCAATCAGGGAGCGCCCAATGGCAACGCTTACCGAGCAAATAGACCCTCCCTCCCCTCAGGTTGTTGTGGAGGCTGCAGCCCCCGCCTTCCTGCGCCTGGGAGCGCGCGCCGAGTGCGAAGCCTTGTTTGCCCCAAGTTGCCTTATGTACGTTTCTTTCTGGGGTGGGAAGGCACTAAGCAAGGGAGAGAGAGGCTTGCTTCGAAACGAGACCGGGAGAAAACGAGGCGGGAGGCTAGCCAGTAGGTGAGTTGGGTGCCTCTGCTTGTCTACCTGTCTGTGTATGTGTGTGTGTGAGAGAGAGAAAGAAGCCCAGAAGTTCTTTCCAAGAGGAGGGGAAAGGCTGAGTCGGTTGCATGTCTTTCTCTTCTCCAGCTTTTTCAGGTGCAGAACCTCTTGTTCAGGCATAGGCAAACTTGGGCCCTCCAGGTGTTTTGGACTTCAACTCCTACCGGCTGTTAGGAATTGTGGGAGTTGAAGTCCAAAACACCTGGAGGGCCCAAGTTTGCGCATACCTGCTCTTTTTAGGTGTCGGGAGCGACTTAGGCAACTGCAAGTCGCTTCTGCTGTGAGAGAATTGGCCGTCTGCAAGGATTTAAATAATACTTTATTTATATTCCGCTTATCTCCCCGCAGGGACTCAAGGTGGATTCCAGCATACTTACTTACTTAGGTGATCCCTCGTAGTCTGAGGATGATGGTCCTCCAAGTGATGTGTCTTGGCGGTGTTCTCCCACAGTGAGGGCATTGGTTTCCAGGTGGAAGGCGGTCCCAGTCAGGGTTGGCTTGATGCGCTTTCCTCTTGGCACGTTTCTCTCTTTCACCCTCCATTTGTGCATCTTCAAATTCTACAGCACTGCTGGTCACAGCTGACCTCCAGCTAGAGTGCTCAAGGGCCAGGGCTTCCCAGTTCTCTGTGTCTATGCCAGAGTTTTAAAGGTTGGCTTTGAGCCCATTTTTGAATCTCTTTTCCTGCCCACCAAATTTCTATTTCCCGTTCTTGAGTTCAGAGTGGAGTAGGTGCTTTGGGAGACTGTAATCAGGCATTCAGACAACGTGGCCGGTCCAGCGGAGTTGATAGCGGAGGACCATCACTTCAGTGCTGGTGGTCTTTGATTCTTTGATTTTTTTCGGTGGAAACTCTGATGGAATCATTTCAGGAGTTGCATGTGACATCTGTAGATAGTCAATGTTTCGCAGGCATATAGCAGGGTTGGGAGGATAATAGCTTTAAAAACAAGCACCTTGGTATCCCTATGAATGTCCCAGTCCTCAAACACTCTTTGCTTCATTCGGAAGAATGCTGCACTCGCAAAGCTCAGGCGGTGTTGTATTTCAGTGTCAGTGTTGACTTTTGTGTAGAGGTGGCTGCCAAGGTAGTGGAAACGGTCAACATCTAATGTTACACCATTAAGCTTTTTTTCTGTGTCTGTATATTCCAGCATATACAGACACAGGCAAACATTCAATGCCTCGAAACAATGAAACACAAACACAGAGATAAAGGTAAAAGCTTCCCCTTCATCTCTGGCTCTGTGGTTGGTGCTCATCTCCATTTCTAAGCTGAAGAGCCAGCGTTGTCCGTAGACACCTCCTAGGTCATGTGGCCAGCATGACTGCATGGAGCACCGTTTACTTTCCCGCCGAGTTAGTACCTATTCATCTACTCACATTTGCATGTTTTCGAACTGCTAGGTTGGCAGGAGCTGGGGCTAACAGCAGGAGCTCATGCCATCTTGCAGATTCAAACCACCAACCTTCTGGTGAGCAAGTTCAGCAGCTCAATGGTTTAACTGTTGTGCCACTGTGGCTCCTATAGCTGTGTTAGGGATCCTGTAATAATAAAGGGATCCCATAGCATCTTTGAGTCTGAGTAAGAGTGCATCTGTACTTGGAATTAATGCATTTTGACACCACTTTAAGAGCCATGGCACCATGCAATGCAAGCCATGGTTTGGCGAGACACCAGCACTATTTGGCAGAAAAGGCTAAAGACCTTGTAAAACTACAAAAACCAGGATTCTATAGCAGGCTTTGAGTGGTGTCAAGCTGCACTCATTCTACAGTGTAGATGCACCTTAACTATCAGGATGCATGAACAGAGCTCAGATGCAGATATGTGTAAGAGAGAGTTTAGCAGTAGTCTGCCTTAACCAGGCACAGGCATTCTTGGGTCCTACAGGTGTTTTGGACTTCAACTCCCACAATTCCTAATAGCCAGTAGGTTGTTAGGAATTGTGGGAGTTGAAGTCCAAAACATCTGGAGGACTGGAGTTTGTCCATGTCTGGTCTAAACACACAAAGAATCAAGGATATATTTTCACGGTAGAATTGAATTCACAACCTTGTCACACCAAAGTCTGTTCCTACCCCCCACCCCCAACTTTGGCCTCCCCTATATATGGATCCTTAAAATACAAAAGAAAGAAAGAAACAAGACACCATTTTTGTCATTAAACAAAACTCTTTCTGTTCAATCCATTTGCCCACAATCTCTTTCTGATACCCCATGAGTACATCCTAATCAACCAGTAGTAGATACTGATCTGCTTTTTGCCAAGCGTGGTGCCAGCCTACACAGGCGTCCCGAAGCACAGAGGGTGGCTTTGTAACATTGTCTCTTCCTTTCCTTTCGACAGGATGCTGAAGACAATTAAGCAAGCACTCTTCTCTTCTGGGCTAGAGATGCCCAAATGGACACCACTGCCCAACCAGGTATTTATTGATTGTGTCAGAAGTCAATTAAGAATACAGTTATAATGTATAGAAAAACCACAAACAAAGTAAATAATGGCATCATATTTAATTTCCTTTGACTAGAGGCTGGCCGCTTGGAGTGCCTCTGGTATCGCTGTGAGCAGGTCCTCCATTGTGCATGTGGCAGGGCTCAGGTTGCATTGTAGTAGCTGGTCTATGGTTTACTCTTCTCCACACTCGTATGTTGTGGACTCCACTTTGTAGCCTCATTTCTTAAGGTTAGCTCTGCATCTCATGGTGCCAGAGCGCAGTCTGTTCAGCGCTTTCCAAGTTGCCCAGTCTTCTGTGTGCCCGGGAGGGAGTTTCTCATTTGGTATCATCCACTAATTCAGCGGTTCTCAACCTGGGGGTCGCGACCCCCCGGGGGGTCGTTTGGCCATTTTCTGGGGGTCACCAAGCCGCATTGGCTAGCCACGCCCCCTCCAAAATGGCGGCCGACCCACAAGTCAATTGTACTGATAGGCTGCTCCTCCTGATCTTCCCAGAGATCTGTGGATAGTCAGGAGGAGAAACTTTGGATGAAGAAGACTAACCATTTGGATGAAGAAGACTCACCTCTGTTCCGGGCTAAAGGGTGAATAAACGTCGATCCGCCCAAGATGGAGGCGAGGGGCGGGCGGGAGACTCCGGTGGCGCTAGGTCACAGGCAGAGCCTCCCGCCCGCCTCCCGTCTCCTTCAGCTGGAAGATGGAGGCGAGGAGCGGGTGGATGGCTCTGCCTGCGGCCTAGTCGCCACCGGAGCATCCCGCCCGCCTCCCGTCTCCTTCTGCAGCTTGGAGATGGAGGCGAGGGGCGGGCGGGAGGCTCCGGTGGCGCTAGGCCGCAGGCAGAGCCATCCACCCGCCTCGCCTCCATCTTCCAGCTGAAGGAGACGGGGGGCGGGCGGGAGGCTCTGCCTGCGGC